CAGGCCCAGGACACAGGCGCAGCATGTACCACCGCTAGGCCAGACCCAGGACACAGGCGCAGCCTGTACCACCGCTAGGCCAGACCCAGGACACAGGCGCAGCCTGTACCACCGCTAGGCCAGACCCAGGACACAGGCGCAGCCTGTACCACCCAGCGGGCCAGGCCCAGGACACAGTTGGCCAGGGCTAGAGAGATATGTGAGACGGCCCAAGGGCCCTCCATTCTGGATGCAGTGACATGTGACTTCCAGGTGTTTCTCAGGGGCGGCCCTAGACTAGCTGCCGGTAATTGGCGCCCCGGTGAAGCATGCAATCGGCGCCCCACCTCCAAACCCCTCAACGATATTGCGCCACCGTTCGGCGCCCCATTTAACGTGGCGCCCTGGGCGACCGCCTAGTTCGCCTGTATGGATGGGCCGCCCCGGTGTGTCTAGTCCCCTCCCTCAGTCCCAGAAAGAGCTTCTGTCCTCCTGCCCTCTCCCCATCCCCAGCAAGACCCCTTGGCAGTTGTGCTGGGAACCGGGCTCTGGAGAGGCTGCGCTTTCTCCACACCCCCCGGGGCTGTAAGCGAGGCCTAGCCCCCAGCCCTGGCGTCCAGCAGACACTCACCTCTCTGCTTCTTTGTATTTGCCCTGCTTTTCCAGCTCCTGAGCCTGGCTGGTGTAGAGCACGGACACCTCTTCCTGCCTCATGCACTGGGTCGCCAGCTGCAGGGAGGCACAGGCGGAAGGGGGGTTGGGGAGATCCCAGCCCCCCCGCGCCGGGAATACCTGCTGGGTGTGTGGCGGGTTCAGCTCTGAAGCCCTAGGCACCCACTTGGCAGTCTGACACGGCCAGTCTCCATTTGGACGGCTTGGGAGCAGAGCCCGGGGCCCACTGCATACCGTGTGTGCTTGGCTACCCAGCTCACAAGCGCCCTGCGGGGAAGGGCCGCTCTTCAGGCCAGAGGCGGACAGAGCAGTGACCTGGCCTGGTTTGGCCCCCTTCAATGACCCCTGGGAACGGCACCAGGGCCTCCTGGGATGGAGGCGAGGAGCAGGGCCCGGGAGACCCGGCTGCTGGGGTGCGCACGGTTAGCGAAGGGGTCTTGGCCCAGGCTGATGGACAGCCTTGCCGGGACTCCTAGCCCCTCCCCGCGTGCTATGGGGGAAGGCGCACGCCG